ATCCAGACTAGTCATCTCCCAGAGACAGGTTTTGTTGACAATAGCTTTGAGGCATCAGATGTTCTTGTTTGCCGATATTATGTGAGCTCCGAGGCGCAGAGAGGTGTGCCACCAGTTATGAGACAGATGACTCTCGGTATTAGGATGAATTCCAGGCTCCATAGTTCAGACAGCTGACGAGTGAAGACCGTGGCTTTATTTGCCTCTTAGCTGAGCTCAAGCAGAACAACAAGACACTCAATGAGCATCTAGCATGCCATGCTGCTCTTCTAGTTGAGCAGCATGTGTGATGACACCGTTCATGTCAATCCAGGCCAGAGGAAGTCAACCTACCAGACTGGTTCGACTCTCTCAGGTAGGAAGAGATGACAAGGCCACTGTGTATTATACCTGCTGTACAGCATCCCTGCTTTGAAACTGTGTTGCTACTGTTGCCTCGCCTTACACTGTTGGCGTGTACACTGATGCCACCATGTGTACAACAAGCAAAATTACATGATGAGAGGGATGTGATAGTGTTGTCAGAGGTGTTGTCATTCAAAACGGTGAACTTGAATGTTGTTTTAGAACAACACCTTTTATTTAGCACCAAACACGTAGACAGTTAAACCTGAATAACTGCATCAAACAAGCAGTATTGAAATGTTATGCTTTTTAGTAGTGAGTATTTGTTGGTTTTCTGAATCGTCTATCATTGCCAATGCTTTTTTGGTTTTGGACGGATGGATGGACAAAACAAATAGTTTGACAATGTTCCCTTGGGCTCTGGGGAAATGTGATGGGCATAAGTTTTTTTTTTTTTTTTTTTTTTCTGACAAACAATTAAATTTATTCATTTATTTAACCAGTCAAAGCCTCCATGAGATTAAAATGTCCTAACCAAGACAGACAACACAAGATGTATCACAAAATTAGAATTACACAGGAATCCGGAATGAAATGTGTAACACAGTGATACAAAAGACTTAATTCAAAAACTAAATTGCTCCTTTTATAACGACCTGTCTGAGCTGTCCAAATGTATAAAAAATAAAACCAATCTAAAAGAAATGACAGAGTGTGCAGCTCCAGTGACTTGAATCCACAGAGCCCAAACTTTGTAATGTCTAACTGCATTAGGTTCCAGGGGGGAGTAATTGATTGATTGAGAACTGGCAGGTTAATCAGTAATGAAAATAATTAAGTTTAACAAGTTAATTCAGTGTTTTTAATTGGATCAGTATCAGGTTTTCACTCCATGAAACCTCTGTAATGTCTGGAGTGAAGACATCATTACTCACTGATCTGTGAAACACCAGAGCTGCTGCTGACTGCTTTTGTCTCATCACTGCTCTCGGTTGTAGTTGTGTGTGTTGTTTGATAAAGAAGCTGCATTAACTGGATCCTGTTTTCACCCCGGCAGACACCCGGTTCTGTCGATCACCACAGTGGATAGTGTGTCTCTTTGCAGACTAATAGCTTCTCTGTTCCTTTCAGGCGGTAACTTCATCTGATTATTGACAACAACTAAAATCTGGCTGCAGTTTCGATCAATGAAAACGACTCTGGCTGACTGTGTAGTTTTGAGGAAGTGAAAACTGGATGCTTCATCAGTTTATGAATCTTTTCCAAAAAAAAAAATTATGAAAATTGTAGGATTTTCCAGTAGTTCTTTTTATGAATTGATAATCTTTTAATATTCTTTTAAATAAAATGTTATATAATCAGTTTATGGCTTGTGCAAGTCCAAAACCACCAACTGTGTTTTATTTGTGTGCTTTCTCACACGCAGGCTTTTTCTCTTCTTTGTCCATCCGAGCGCTGCCCCAGCCCCACACTGTCTCTGCGCCCTGACAGGAAGTGACAGACGAGGCAAATCGAGGCAAGAAGCTTAGATACATGAAACCTGCAGCGGAGGCTGAAAAGACAGGTTCTGTCCAGTGGAGGGAGGATTTGTAGCAACATCCAAAAGCAGTTTACTCAGGGAGTTTAGGATTTTGTTGGTCAGTGCTTAGAATAGGCTGTGCCAGAAATAGCTGATAGAAGCAGGCAGTGGCTCTGGCTGAGCACAATAGGTGTGATGTAGAGTTTGGAAGTGGATTTCATGACTCAGGGAGATGACATACCTCCATGTATTGTACATGGTGTCTGAGCTGCTGACCAGGCTGCAAGGAGTTAGTTCTGACCTGGTCAGAAACATGAGATTAGAGCTGAAAGATGAGTTGATTAAATGGTAAATTAATCTAATTTGCAACAATAAATTAACTGTCAATGGTCGAGTCATTTAGTTAAGAAAAAACTTTGCTTCTTTTTTTTTCTTCTATGATAGTAAACTGAATATTTTAAACTGTTGGTTGGACTTAAATTGAATGTCATCTGTTCTCTGGAGAAATTTTAATTAGCGTTTCCTGATATTTTATAGATTAAATGATCAATTGAATAAATTATCAGCAGATTAATCACTAATGAAAATCAGGGCTGCAACTAACAATCATTCTCTTTCGATTTAATGTACCCATTATTTTCCTGATGAATGGACTGGATTAATTGTCTGGTCTATAACATGAGAAGATAGCCTGCATATTGTGAAAGAAATGTCCATTACAAGTTTCCAGAACCGTTTAGTGATGTGTCAGATGTCTTTTGTCCAACCAACAGTTCAAAAGTCAAAGTCCTATAATACAGAGATGCAGCAAATCCTCACATTTAAGAAGTTTAAACCAGAAAACAACTGGAATTTAATGACTTAAATAGTTGTTTATAATCATAGAAGAGTAAGATTTCCAGAAAATATTCAAATTTGAGAAGCTGGAACCACAGAAACTTCAAAAATTAATTGATCATCAAAACTGATTACTTGGCTAATTGTTCGCTCTAATGAAAATAGTTGTTAGTTGCAGACCATGATGGGATTGTGGTGTCATCTTGGAGCAGTTATGAGGGCGTTCTTGTTACTTGTTTGTTTCTAGCAGTTTGACTCCCTCTCCTGGTCAGAAGCCTGAACTACACTGTATTTGGAGGTTTTGTGTGCGCAGGTCTGAGAGGAAACTTAGCGTTTGTCCCAGGAGCAGGAGGCATTTACTTGGCAGGAGGAAACGCAGCCAACCCACATTTCCCACCAGTAACAGATCGAGCCAACATTTGATTGATGCATGACCTGAGTGTGTCGGCGACACGGCGCTTCATATCAATCAGAGAATGTTGCCTGAATGCTGTGGTTATTCAGTGTAATGGGAATGTCAATAACTCTTGCATCCTCTGATGAATACACAAGTACCGTGCCATGATTCACCCGGTGAAGGCTGCTGATGTTTAAAGCACTGTTACTGAACCAAGCACAAGTAGCTGATGTGATGCATCATGTTTCTGCAGCTTTAACTGTTACCAAGCAATTTTCTAATAAGTCAGCAGTGCCGAGTGAACTTCATCTTCTGGCTCTTTAGGCGATTGATGGCCTGATCAGAGGTGCCTGTAATAAGTGCTAAAATCCTTATAGCGGCTTCATAACTACACAATTAAGTGTTTAAAGTACTTGTGAAGCAGATGTGAGTTGTAGCTGAAGTAGTTTATCCTCTTTGGGAGTCTAATGTTGGAAGTCATTAAATGTGTAAATGTGGAGTGTCAGAAAGAAATATAGCTTGTTTACTCAGTTCAGTGAATGTGGGTGGAGGAATAAAAGCCCAAAAACAGAGTTAGTACACATTTTTTAATAACATGGCACAATTTACATAACACAAGTTTAAATGAGGAGCATGCTGAAGATTCAGTCGCTTCATTTTTTCTCATTTTTGTACATGATCTAGAAAGACTTCTTTTTTTTTCCCTGTACATGGTAAACAGCAAAAAAACTTTCTCATTTAACAATCTTTTTGAAATACGCATCAACTAACCACTATGGCTCCGGTGGACATTTTTATGTTGGATTAAAAAACACTGCACAACATGATATCACAGAGTTTGAAGCGCACAACTAAACCTTCAGTGGACTACTAAAATAGATCTCTGCTCATTAGAAACAAACTGTCCATAGTTTAGACTTGCTTTTTTGTCTTTTGATTTTGTAGGTACAACAACTTAGGAAAGCACTTTAATACACTGTTTGACCAACAGAACCTATTTCCAAAACATGTACTTTACACTCCTTCAGTAGGGCTAATGTGCTGTCATCGTGTTTAATGTGCTGCATTCTCCCCAGAACAAGACTGAGTGAAGGAAGAATGGGGGGGTGAGGGGTAGTAATCTTAACATTTGTGCTGCTGGCTTTTTACATTAAAAATCAATTGAAATGCAATACTTCCATCAGCGGTTTCTAGGATTGTCACCACAATTTATCATAGTTGAGAAACCAATTCTCAAAACATTTTTGTTTAATCCAAATTGCTGCCTACAAACCCTGCGTGGACCCAGTTCAAGCTCGTCTCCGGCTGCAGGGACCCAGTGTTTGTCAAGTCTGAGTTGTGGAGAGAATACAGCTTTCTGTCCTTTATTGGTGCACAGTCAGTAGTGGTGAGAAGGCCAGCTTTCAGAAAGGGAGCCCAGACATTTTTGTTGCATAGTTGAATATGGGGTCTCTGGTACAATGCTAATCAGTTGCGTCAACCAAATAAAAAAAAAAGAAAAGAAAAAAGGAAATAGCAAAAAGCACATTCTGAATCACCACCGTAACACTCCTCTGTTTACATTTGTTCAAAGTAAAGCTTTCAAAACACCCTTTTGCATATTTGTACCATGATTTTTAATCCATACAGCGTGAGCACAGCGACTGTACACATTATCTACACACTTTGCTGTCAGTGCTAAAGTACCTGTACATTCCAAAACTGTTCATTCTTACTCCACATCACTTTGCTGTACAAGAGGAAGAATCAACACAAAAAGCTAGAGCAAACTGGAAAAAAAATCTTAAAAATTTATTTTTTGTTCCATGATTATTGTCTCTTTGTAGTTTTATACAAAAACAATTCATTGTGTGGGCATGGCTCTGCCCACATAAGTTATTCACAGCTATATTACAGTCTTGCTTTGCCCAAAGCTAAGTGCTTGGTGTGAGTTCAGTGTTAGTGAGGCACAGGGCTGAAGGGGCACCGAGTCTGCTGAAGCTCAGCTCACCGTGCCTCGATGTCTTTGTGAGCCGGCCTGTCTCTGATATCTGTGGCCAGGGGAGTAGTCCGTCTGGGCGAGCCGGGCCGGGCACCCAATGTGGGGATGAGTGGGGGCGGGGCACTCAGAGAGGCGGTGGGTGGTGTTTTGTTGAGGATACCATTCTGATGGGCTGCGGCTGCTGCGGCTGAGGGGCTGACCCTGGAGAAGTGCATGCCCGGGAGTCCAGGGGCCATGAGGCCCGGGGCGGGGTGCGGAAGGTGTCCGTCAAGGGCAGGATGGTGCATTGTAGGGTGGAGGCGCCCGTGCTCATAGTCCTCTCTGAGCATGTTGAGGCGGTCGCGCTCCTCCAGGTGGGCGCGCTCCTGCTCCCTCCTCTGCTCCAGGGCCAGAGGGTGGGAGTGGTCACGATTAAAGTCGTGAGGCTCACGGTCCCTGTAGGAGCGCTCGGCCTCGTAGAGGCGTGGCGCCGCCAGCCGGTGCAGAGGGTCATTTCTTAGCAGCAGGTCCCTGGCCAAAGGGTCCCGTCTGTGAATGTCCAGGCCCCTGTAGGGGTCCCTCATTGGGTCCCAGTGGAAGGCAGGGTAGGGGAACCTGTCAGCTCCTGGGATGGGGCTGATACCCATGAAGGGCGCCACCACTCGAGTTCTCTCCAGACTGCTGATGCTGTTGATCGGGTGGACACCAGCCATGCCCATAGGCACAGGCATCGAGGAGGGGGGGTGGAGGTTTGGCGTGGAGGGCGCCTGTGCTGGGTGCTCACTTGGCCTCTCTGTAGCTCCATCCTGTTCCTCCTTCCTCTCCTCCTTCACTTTCACCTCACTGCTCTTCTTCTGGTGCTCGTACGGCAGCTCCACCTTCTTCTCCAGGACCTCCCTGCTCAGGCTGCTGTTGGGCCGTTCGAGGCTGGTCTGTCGGACGTACGGGGATGCCGTCCCCCTGTTGGACACTTTGTCCTCTGACACCCGGCCATCGTGGATGACAGGTGTGTCCTTGTCGCTGTGCTGGTTGTCTTTGAGCTTGTGGTCGTCTGTGCCATTGTCTTTCCAGGACTCAGAGTGGTCCCGCTCCCTGTCTTTTGCCTTGTTCTCCTTGTCCCTCTGAGGTTCTCCAGAAGCAGGAGGCAAGTGGTTCCTGTGGTGCTCTGGAGGCCGGCTGTGGCCAAGGAGGCTAATGGGGTTTACAGGGACTGGTGACGAATGGCTCAGGTGGCGGTTCTCCACAGAGTCCCTAGATATACAAACAAAGTCCTCCCATCAGAACCACTAACTTTTGTTCAAAAGATTAACTAGGACAATTTTTATTCCAAATTAAAACTCTGAAATAAAACATGCAGAATATAAAGAGAAATAATAAGGTAACAAAGGAAATAGGAGTCATGGTAGAGTAGTCACTGATGGCAGCTACTGTCTGCTGTACTGCACCCACCTGTCCTTGTCGTCTTTACCGACCAACGGGTCCCGCTTGTCAGAGTCTCGGTCCCTTTCATGTGAGCTGACTGAGGTGCTCCTTTCAGAGTCTCCGGGTTTCAGCCAGGGAGGTGGTGTGGGGAAGGAGGGCGGCGTGCGGTGCAGGCGGTTCCACGGCTCCTGGTGGCTGCTGTTGCTGCTGCTGTTGAAGTGCTGCTGTGCATTGGGGCCATCTTTATGGCCGAATACTGAATTTGCCGCTGTTAGGGATTCAACACGTGGAAAAACACAGCAGGACGCAAGTTAAATGAGCATCTCGACAACTTGATCTGGTCTGTATCTTAATTCCATTGTTCTTATACAACATCAGTAACAATAACTAAATGTTGCATCACAGCTGTAGCAACATTAAGTGATAACCACTAAATGTTACTGCATCATTCATGAGGTTAAAACTCACTTAGTGCTGGATTTCCCAGTCCTCCGAAGGCTGATGAACTGAGAGAGCCCAGTCCTCCAAATGATGCAGGTCTTGCGAAAGGTTCTGATGGGAGACACAACATGTTACCATGCATCTAATCGACATCTTAATTTTCCTTTTTCAGAGTGACACTGAGAACAACTGCAAAGTCCTCTTACCTAAGTGAGATGCTGGGGTGAGGAAGTTTCCAGGATGGTGGGGCGGATGGCCGAAGGGACCAGCTGATGGGTGTGTAGGACCTGAGGAGGGAAAGACAGAAGGCATCACGGAAACATCGATCAACCACTGAGGTAACTAAGACTATGATACAAGGTAGGTAGTTTAGAAATAGTTTCTCCATTGCACATTGTCTTGAGAGCATTAACAAGTTTACTTCTCAAAATGTGTTATATATTTTGTGTGTTTATGCATAAGAAAAAGAATATCTGTTGACATTGTAGCCGTGCTAAAGGTGAGGCTCTCAGGATGGCAGTGTTGGTATGTCATTCAACACCTACTTTGGTCCCGACTGAGATATCTCAAAAACAAACTGGAGTTTTGTAAAGACATTCAAGATACCCAGAGGATGAAGCCCCTTGACTTTTAATCTGGCGCCACAAACAGGTCAGAATTTGGTTCAGATATTTCAGGTCCCTCTCTAAGATGACCTTTAAATCTTTCTCCAGCTCTGTCTTCAGGTCAGGGTTTTAATTTGTCCAATACTTTGGTTTGTGACCAAATATCTGCAAAATTAATGACATTCCCATCAGCCACATCTCATAGAGACATGACACTGCCTCCTTTGGGGAAAACAAGGCAAAAAAATGTGGTTGAAAGCTCCAGAAAAACCAACGACATCTTAATTATTCTATGTGCAGTCAGTAAGTGGTTGACATTATTATTTTCAAGTTGTGGATAAACCCTGTTGGATGTGTTGCCTTGTATCGTACACAGCTGAACTCAGAAACAATAACGTGAACAGACAACAGCTCACTCTGAACAGCAGGAACTGCTCGACTGCTGCTGTATGTCAGAGGCTACTGGTGTTAACCATCAATCAATCTCTCTACCCAGAGATCTGACACACTCACCTGCAGCGGAGAAGAGCGTGGCGGGCCGTGCCAAGTCGCTGGGGTGATGGATGGCGCCAAAGAGCCCCGGGCCCGGAGGTCGACTCAGGAACTCAGGCTTGAGGCCGAAGTCTAGCTTGTGAGGGTCGACCTGCATCTGCTGCTGGAAGACGCCAGAGCGACACAGAGAAACACATGTAAAACCCTTCACACAGCTGCAAAGGCTTCACTGGGTATTTTACAGGTTATTAATAGAAATGTTTGTGTTACGTTGGGCACAAGGATACATTGTGATTCCCACCGACTGCCAGGTTACACTCCTTTACCAAGCAGTGACTTTTCTTAATCATTATACTCCCAACAAATGATGTTGTTATTGCTGCAGAAGCCACACAATTTAAATTACTTGTCATTTTAATTGTCTGAACAGTATTTTGTTAAGGGACTTGCAACAGTAAAATCACAAATCTCAGATCAATATCAAATGAGTGGAAAGATCAGCTTTTATCTTTACAATATTCTTTTGATAACAGTGTGCAATTGTAACCACAGTTGTAATTAAGAAAAGCAACAAGAAGAGAAACAGAAAAGGAAACAAAAGGAAAAGATGACTCCTTTCTGGAAGTAATTATTCAGAAATATACTGAACTGATGCAGCCAAATTCTCCTTAAGATACCAAAAGTATGCCCAAAGCAGTCAGTATGAACACTTAAACCCTTGATTTTTTTTGAGTTAATTGTTGATGTACACTAGTCGCCCAGAGTGATGGTGAATCAGCTCCAGGAACTCGTCAGAAAATGAGAAATAATATTAAATTTTTGGAAAAAACATTTCAGTCTCTTTGTGAAGTGGCATCTTAAAGTTGCAGTTTGGTATTTCTTTGCATGCTAAGAGTAAAGTATGTTGATTTCTTGTGTACTACCTGTAAAAACAGTTTACCTCAAATATGTATTCTGTATACAGGTAGTATGTAGGATGAAACTGGAACACATCTAACTTTACACTGTGTTAATACATAGATTTGGTACAGTGCAGAGAGAGAGGAGTCAGGCGAGTCCTCACCTTCACTTTCTGCTGGTGGTGGTATATTTGCCAGGCGATATGGACATGCATGGCGCACCACTTTCCTGGTTTCTGTAAACACAAGACAAAAACACGATGTCACAAATGTACTCTTTTATGTTAATGACAGATACAAGTTAGAATATTATTGTTTCCAGTTTACACACAAGTGTGGAGCTTTTTGTTCTGTTAATCATCATCATCTATAAGCTCTGCTGTATTCATCTTTGAACCCAATAATAGGGACATATTCCTCATGTCAGTCTGATGTTCAAGGTTTTTTAGACCACATCTGATAGATGCATTTCTATGTTGCCAATGCAAATTAACTTTGCCTCATACAATCATCTTGAACGGTCAGATGACATGAACACAGCACACCCTTCTCTTTACCCGCTCTTTATCCGAGAATGGCATACTGATACTTAGATATGGTACAGGTCCATGTAGCAGCTTTGATCATATATTGTTTATAAACCCCCTCCAATGAAAATCAAGTGTTTAACCTTGTTAACATCCATATGATGTTTTTTATATAAGACATGTCATGAGAGATAAACAGTCAACACCATAACTGAGTGTTTCCACCTTGAACTGCAGTGAACCAACCCTTTCAACTTGTGGGGACGGGGGGGTGGGGCTAAATAAACCCGAAACCTTGTCCATACAGAGAGCGAGAGTTTGCATTAGCAATTCTGGTCGCAACAGACTCCTCATGCGATGTTTCCTCTAACACTAATCATCTTGATACACACTGCTCCTTCACCAGTCACCAAACCCTTGTTAGTACAGACAGACAGACAGAGTTTGCATTAGCACAACCACTAACACTGTGTCAGCCACTGCCAGTTACAAGCTAACAAACAACATAACCATTTAGCTACGCTAACTGCTCTGATTAGTCTTCTAGTCGCCGATTTACAATAAACTCCTGAGTCTGGGTCTGACTCAAACATGTGGCTGAGTCTCTCTGACGTTTCCTCCTCTAACCATCTTGCTACTCTCTGCTCTTTCACCTGTCCACCTGGAGCAAGCAGTTGGTGGGCGGGGCAAAAGGCCTGATCCAGATTTTTCAATAAAATCTATGTTTGATAAAATATTAATCATAGCAGAGGACTTTTACATAGTATAAACATGTCTGAAGAGGAACTTTAAGATATGGTCAGTACAGTGATTACAGCTGTCAAGTGATGAATGTTTAAAGTCTAAAAATTGCATTTCCACATCCGGAGGATGCACTTATCTCCACAATGAGCTTTGTTGAGGAAACTAGTGCACTCAGCCTCCAAATACAGCGCTCATTTAATTAAAGACACTATTAACTTCATTAGCAAAAACCCTTCAAGGCATCATGGCTATTATGGTGTGTGTGAGGGAGCAAGAGGCCGAGACACTGTAGGGAGTGAGCACTCACCCTGAGAATGGGCCGAAATGGATCCGTTAGCTACATGAGAGAGGGGGAGAAAAACAGGTTGAGTTTTTTGTTTTCAATCATCCTGGCTCTAATTAGTCTCTGTGTGGAGTATTCATTATGGTCCAAATAGAAATGTTGAAATGTCCCTCTGAAATTAAACATTTCAGGAGTAATTAACACATGAGTGTGAAACGGGGATCTGCATACAAATAAGACAAACATGGCAGCTGAAACAGGAACACATACGCTGACGTCTATGTTGTCTAAAAACTAACTGTATATGAATATTCTTTACAGTGACTTAATTTGGTGTTGAAAACCTTCACCTGATAACTTGAAGGCTTATGCAACATATACAGAGAGGCTAAAGGTTACTTCTACACTGTGAGTGTTGTGTGTATGTGCTCTTACCCTGGGGTCCTTCTGTAAGAATGTGTGTGGGACGGCTCCAGGTCTTGTGGACACATCCAGTGGATTAGAGGTCTAGAGAGCACCAGACACAGATCGAAACAAGATACTCTGTAAATAACTCCTATCTTTAGTTTGTTTTTCTGTAGGTGTGTGGTGGTGTCGATGCGCGTTTTACCTTGGGCTGAAAGGCGCCCTGCAGCGAGCCGAAGGGCCCGGTTGGAGGGATGACAGGGGGAAGGCCAGACATGGCCGGTGGGTAGGAGTGGAAGAGCTGAGGAAGAAAAGAGGGAGAGGAGGTGTGAGGATGGTTCTGTCTGTCACTGAGATGCAGGACAACAGCTGCATGAGTCAGAGGAGGAGATGCAGCAAACAGGTTATAGTGACGGATGAGCAACATCCAGTCAGAATTTTCAAAGACTGCTGAGATGGGGGAAGTTACAGACGATTGCCTACATGTTTCACGAACTGCGAGTTTATAAAATATTCCCTGCTCATTCCCGGTGGATTTAAATAAGGGAAAACACTCCTTTGATATGAAAACTAGAATGTTGTAATACAAGCAAAATGCATGTAAACCAAACAAGTGCTCAAGGCTTCCATAAAATTATCCTGTAGAGAAAGACATGTAATCAACTACTCAGTGTAATTGTTCTTGTCAGTCATATTAGCCTTAGTGGAATTAGAGAATGTTTTTTCATCCTCAACTTTCATTTAATCATGGATGGTGCAACAAAATTATTCAAAGCCAGGACGAGTTATTAGAAGCTCTTGAGGCTACGCTGGAAGGTTTTAAATGCAACTTGTGTGCATCATGTTTTACGACATCACTAAGTTTATAGAGACAAACCGGCTTCAGGGTATTTGATGCCACCATAATAAGACTGAGGAAATACTGAGAAGAAGAAATGAAAGTCTTAAAAACAAACTACCGACATTCTAACATCTATTTGACCCTGGGCTGATCTGAATATAAATACATGATTTATCTGACATTCAAATCTTCATCTCAGCTGAGCGACAGTTTGAAGAAAAAGCATTCCAGCACGTATGTGGAAGCTTTAAAGTAAGTCCCCTTTAGTGAGTAATATTGAGCGAGCCACTGCTGTTAGCAGACAAATACAAATGCAGAGTAGTAAGCAAGACAAAGCTATAGTATTCCTCTGGTAATAATGCAGTCTCCTCTGTAACGCAGCCAGTGTCTCCTTCTGTATTCATTTCTATGCACAATAATTTCTCTGTTACGTGCACGCACAATAAATCTTGTGCTCCAAGGTCTAAGAATCCAACATTGTTTCATTAATCACAACATTTGCTGAGGCTGAAGGGTGAGATGGTACAGCTAGGATGCTAACAGTATCCATTAGGAAGAGGATGAACATCCAACACACACACACACACACACATACACACACACACACACAGGAAAAACTAGCATGGGCTGGAATGGTATAATGGGCAAACAACAAAGTGCTCTGCAGACAGATAGTACGCAGTAGGGAAACTCACACTGTGTCTGTAGAAGGGGTCAACTTTTGTTGGGTATTTGTCAAACTGTAGGAGAAATGAAACAGAGCTAAGTACAAATATGTAGAGAAGACATGATAACCTACACATGTACACTGGCTTATTTCAGGCCAACACAGAATACAGCACAAATTGTAATTTACTAGGAACATGGTCACAGATTGAGATTATGATTACAGATTTCAACTGGGTGTCAAAGTTCAACCACTTCCCAAGCTAGACCGTTTTCATCCTCCCCTTTTCATGATCATGTGAAGACCTTGTAAACTAGCATGGGCTCTGTGTCTCATTTGGTCTCCTTTTAGTGGTGCAGCACAAGCTCAGGGCGAATATTTCCCCAGTCAAGACTAAACACTGCTGCCATAAAGAGGCTTTTTATGGCCTCATTAGCTGTCAGAGGCTTCGCCGTGCTGCCTTTGAGGTATCATCAGAGCCAAGCAAACCCTCTCTGGGCCAGGCTGTTATGAATGTGTGTGTGTGGATGGGAGTTTTAGGTCCAGCCACCCATTGCCTGTGGTCTCCCCCAACAAACACCGGGGCTCTTAACATAAGGCATTTGCCAGTAATAAAAACCCTCAAACAGGACCAAATGATGTCATTAAATTCAGAATGAATTAAGTGTATTATGTTCTGAGAGCTGGCTCTGAAGTTAACATGCTTTGGGCAAGTTATTGCCAATTTAGAAAATAACGGCGTTCAAGTCTGGAGGCCCAGAGTATGCCAGAGAAAACACTAGAAAGGCTTTCTGGGAGAATAAAGGCATCATTGTGGTGTGGATGGACACACATGGTCATCATTGAAAGGCCGCCATAGAAGCTCACAGGTCCCTACAGTGTGCCGCTCACACACATGTACAACTGTAAAATCTTCACTCTCACACCCACAGAATGAAAACACTCTCAGTGCCATGCCCGCCAACTCCTCTGCATATTTAAAAGTCATTATTAGAAGACATAAAAACTTTGTTTATGGTAAGAGTTTTTCACATGCGTTCTACTTATCCTCACATTTCTGGCAGGGGTACGCACCATGGGCGGTGCTGGGGTGGGCATGATGGCGTGGGGAAAGGGCGTGAAGGTGTGCTGGTGGGTGTGCTGGTGGGTGTGTTGGTGCTGATGCTGGTGCTGATGCTGGTGCTGGTGGAACTCAGTGCGCAGGTAGGGCGGAGGGCCCAGCGAGGCGCCGCGGTCGGCGCTCTGGGAGGCCAGGAAACGGGTGTTGAGCTCCTGGCGCAGAAGGTCTTGCTCTGCAGAAGTAGAGGCAAGAGGGCAGGATTAGGACTGGGTTTGTTAATGAGGGGAGGGGGACTGTCGAGAGCTCTCAAACATTTTCACACAGCAGACTCTGAATAGACACTTAACGGCCTCAGAAGCCATTATGTAAGGTTTTCTCCCAGCCACCTACCACCTCTCATATGGTATGAGTTTTGTTGCGGTAGAAGAAACTTTATCTAAACATGAATAGTAAAGTTCTGAAGGAAAAACTGTAATTAGACTTGTCTCTGTAATTAAAACATATTCTAGTTAATTTAATTACAGTGAAATCAAAGTTTTCCTCATTTTGCCAGGTACTGCTGGAAGCCATCAAAGACCCCTGGAGGGAGCTCAGTGTGTAGACATGTCAAAGTTATATTTAAAAAGAGAAACAAGCAGGAAATGACTGTGATTATCAGCATGTCATTTTAAATTTGAGCGAGGCTTGAGATGATTAGAACTGTCTGAGTGCTGGAACTGTCAAATGCTGTGATTTGATACGCTACAGCCCCTCTGAGAGAACAACATCTGTTTTTCTAATAACCTCTGCACAGCCTGTGGAGAAAGAATGGATTTCAAGTAATCACTGGCTTTTCTTCTAAATTCAACAAAACCTGCCTTGAGAGATTATGTCTCCTCCTGAGTAACCTTATCCTTCCTATTCCACAGTGACTCGCTACAATATTTTCTGCATTCATTTCAAGCTTTATTGGGCTGGGAGCCGGGGTGGAATTTTCTCTTCATAAAAATTTCATTAGTATCTTTTGAACAAAATCCAGCTCGCTCCGTTCCGTATTGACCAAATTGATTTCTCGCACATGAACACCATTCCAGGTGAAAATGGAAGTTCTTGGAACGTTGCTGAAGGCGAGCCCCCCCCCCCCACACTGACCCTGACATTTAGCTAGACAGCACTGCGTGGAAATGTGCACGGGGTCTGTAATCGCTTTTGCTATGTAGTCCGACTTGCTGGTGGATATTACTGGTGTGTGAGAATCGATCAATCAGAGCACGACAAACAGTGTGAACTTGAACTGTCCGCACGACTATAAACACACAAAACCCCGGGCATGGAGTACATGTGGATTATCTTGGACTCAGTTGCTTGTTTCTTTAAATAATTACCAGAGCAACATTCTGGCTGTCCATCTGTCTCCACATCTCAACCACTTTAAAATCAAACGCTGCTCTGAAATGATTCCTTGTTTACTCTCATGTCTCGACCAGCCTGGCAACAGCCCTGATGCAGCAACTGGCTAAAATAGGACTTCGCCTTTTGTTTTTTGTCAGCCTAATAAGCAGTCCTCTGCCACACCACTTGGGGGCGGTGTGGGGACATTTGCTGGCAGCCTGTCATGGTTACCTGAGTAGGCACTCCCAGCAGCAGGGTGTCCAGGTACTGGCAGGGCGCTAGACGTCAGTGGTGGCGGTGGAGGCAAAGCCGCTGGAGGAGCGAACATATTGGGGTGATGTGGGTGGGGCGAGGACTGCAAGGCAGGGGGGAAGCTGTGGGGGGTGTTCTGGTTAGCCGCCAAGGGCAAGGGGAAGGCGGAGGCTGCTGCTGTAGCGGCCGCCGCGGGAGCTGGCGGGTGGTGGGGGAGGTGAAAGGAGGGACCAGGGGGCCCGTGGGGCTTGGTGCCTGGTGTGCTGCTCCTGTGAAGAGAAAGAGAGAGAAAAAAAACAGGAGAGAGATGGAGAAAGGAGCCAGGTTAAGCTAGGCGTGATCAGTCAAAATTAACACTTGTTCCTCCACACCCCTTAATCTCCATCTGCTCCGACGTTCAATTCCCAGCACAGTGTTTTCACACCTCAACTGTCCTCCATTTACAAGCGCCTCCCTACTTCTCTCTTGTGCCTCACAGAATCCAGGGCAAACATGATCCGCGAAAACACCACATTTGCAGCACCCTCAGATACAAATAAACCACCGCTGGCAAGCATAACACAATGAGCATCTGTCTTTGAACAGCTTCTGTTAAGGCACTTCCTCCAGAGCCAGGTAGTGAACATGTGCATCGGAAATGGGATGAGAGGGTGTATGCATGTGTAAGCAAACAGTCTTTTGTAGTGTGTGTGGGTTTTCCCCAGGGGCAGCCACAGAGCCTGCGTCTCCACAGCTCCACGCACAAAGCCTAAAAGCTCATTTGCAGCGCTCGCTCTTTGCTGTGGGCCCCGGCCGTGATTATTCACAGCGGGTGCCAGGCCCTGCCGGCGCACTGGCAGACTGGCAGAGCTGGCACAGAGAGTGGGAGGTGAAGCCAAGTCCTAAGAGCCTGTGAGGCAGAGCTGTTGTTGGGACTGAGTGGGTTCTGAAGGAGCTATGCTGGAGTCCTGGAGTCTTAAATTAATGAAGAGTCTCACAGGCCTCAGTGCTTCTCCACAGATATAGGACACAACACACTAAACTTAGCCCTGCACCAGCTCTATTGTTGTTATTTTAATCAGATGAAAGATTACTGTGATGATGGTGTATTTGAACGTACAAAGCGGAGTTCCACTGAGGATTCTTAAGAACTTGAGAAATTTAACAGCCCTCTGAAGAATTCATTTTATCCAGACAGATTATTACAACTTCCCTCTTGGTCTCATGCACAAATAACTTCTCATCAATAAAATAAAAACAATATAGTACTGATTCAAGGTTATACTACACTATCGCATGTAATGCCAGTATAACTGATTGGGGCTGGAATCTGTACAGAGCCCCAGTGACAATGTGGGTGGCTAATAAATCACAGGCACTCAGGGAGCAGTGTGGCCCTTTTATTTCTCTGTTAATAGACGCTGCTACTGTTTGGCTCAGGGACTTGAAGCTCTGCCTGATAGCAATTTACATACTGATAGGGCATCATGCGTACTTTCAGCTCAAGAGATATTCTAGTGTTTTCAAGTATGTGTGAATAGTCTGTATGAATATGGAGGTTCTGTCTGCTCTGCTGTAATTTTCTGCATCAGAACGAGGACACAGACGAGGACATGAGAGACATGAATCTTCCCTGTAATGAACTGATCAGTCGGTGTGTGAAGTCCGATGTTAGCCGTACCTGTGACCGTTGAGGTTGAGGCCGTTGTACGCAGAAAGGGGCCGGGGGTGGCAGCGCGATGGAGGCCGGTGAGGCCCCGCCTGACTGGGATGCTGTTGGTGAGGATGGTGAGTTGGGAGGGCAGGCGATGGTGGATGTGGGTGGAGGCTGGGCGTGGGTGGTGGCCGGGGATGAGACAGCAGTTCAGGCTGGTGCTGGTGCTGATGCTGGGGCCGGGGAGGGGGGGGCGGCGAGGGCTCTTGGCCCTGGGCGAGAGGCAGGGCTGCGGGCGTCTGAGGCCTGGGGAGAGCCTCTGAACGTGGGGGCAGGTGGGTCGAGGCCGGAGCCTGGGTAGGGCCGTTCGCCTGGGTCCAATGAGGGGACAGGGGCCGGGGGATGGACGGCTGGGGCTGTGGCTGTGGCTGGGTAAGGGGGAGGTCTTGGGCGGGCAAAGGCTGATCGGGGGTGCTGGATGCAGGGGGTTGGGGGTCCCTGCAGCTCTCCTGGCTCCTCTCTTGACTGCGCTCTAGGCCTGACACCTTGAGGAGGCCTGGGCCGTGAGGCTCCTGGCTGCCATTGGTGGAGAGCACATCGATGCCAAAATCTGGAACTGTGTAAAACAAAGAGAAACACTGTGTGAACAAAAACTGCATCTCCAATAACAATACTTAGTTTTCAAGCTGGTGATCCACTTGAACAAAATGCTCAACACTGCAGAAACATAAATTAATTTTCTCTGACATATTGGTGAATGCAATGGACATCCGCTTTTAATGGATTAGAAAAAGTCAGAACACCCTGCAGGATCATGGTTTTCTGACACGCACACACACAAAGTACAGACACTCAGCTCTTTAGCTGCACATCTGTACAATGACCACAAAGAGTGAACACTGCAGACAATGTGTGTGAGCTATAGGCCTTTCGTAGGCTACTGTCTTTCTAACTGCCATCTGCTCTGCTGTGCTCAGTGTGTGTGCTTTCAACTGATAGACCAACAAACTGACACCCATTTTTTTCCTACTCTTCCTTCTCATACTGACACGCCCTGCTGGGGTTTGCAGTGTTGCCAGTACAAGCACCGATTCCTTCCCAAGCCCTTTCACGCAGCCTTTAGCACCTTCCCCGAGGAGAAACTGCACATCTGAAATGTGTTTTTCTTGTTCAGGCTGAATCAGTTTGTGTTGTACACAAGATACATTTCCAAGGTTAATATTTTTTGGATGACAGAACTTCCACTTGTAGGACACATTATATATATATAATACTATATTATATTATATTATATTATATTATATTATATATGATATTCTGGTCAGTTGAGTTAATCAGACAATTCTGCATGTAGCTACCAGTTACAGATCTATTGCATTTACAAACAAACTTTAGCTTAATTGTGCAGAATGAACTTTTGACATTTGTACAAAGGTGACAAATTTGTACAAAGGTTGACAAATGTTCTTTTACAAAGAAGTTAAAACTACACAGTTATGCTTAAATAATATCTATCCTTGTAAAGAAAACTGGTATGGGTTCATTAGCTCATGCTAACTATTAGTGCATATTAAAGGACACTGCAGGATAACAACACTGCATTCATTAATTCACTTTTGCATGTAGCGTGAAGGACGGCTGCACATTAGCTTACTGTCTGATAAGGTCAGGATTAGTTTTATGGACTTTCAGTAATTGCCAAAAACCAGCAATTACCTGCCATTAGAAGCCGTGGGTGGACTTCATTATGTCCAGAGTGTGAATTAATCCAAAGAATGAAAAACGACTGCTGTACAATGTTGAAGTCTCACAGAACAATAGCTAATAAGCTCCATCCAGGGTGTTTCTCTGCAGGGACCTCCTCCTACAGAACAAAGTGCTCAGAAACCAGCAGTCAGCTTGGCTGCTCCAGAGGCAGAGAGGCTCATGGGGGATGACAGTGCATACATAAACTGTAATTAACTCTCCCCAGGCCTCACAGGGGTTTAGGGACAGGAGCGAGGGCTCCTCCTCCCCCTTAGTGAAGCCGGCTAAATCCTTTACCTGCCAAAGAGGTGTAGATGGGACCCAGTTCCCCTGGGCTGAGACAGCAGCCTGCTCTGCAGAGCTGCAGCCTGTCACAGCGGCTTCCATCTCACTGACACACTGCTCCCCCTGGACCAACTCCTGTGGGAGCAGGCTGAGCTAACAGGGCTCTACGAGAACGTCCGTCCATTAGCATTCAAATGCTAAGCGAAGTATAAGCAGCCCCAGGTGCATGTGATATTGTACTTAGGGGTCAGAGGAGGCAATTCCTCATGCAAGATCACAATCAATATCAACAATAACAGCTGTTGACTCCTGCTCTATGTGGGTGAGCTTACTGGGACATCTGCCAGGAGACAAAAGGTAGACTTTGCCAGGTTCAAGTGTGTTTTAATTCTCTCTGTTAGCCGTCTTTGGGCAAGCACAATGAAGGAAAGTCCCCACATCATGCACAGAGGCGTCAGTCTTCAAAGCTAACTAACCCTTACATAGACACCGTATCTCTTCTTTGGCAGTCTGCACACAAAACACATCCCTGTTCAACCCTCACGTGCATCAATGAACAAGAAAGCCCTGCAGCCCTTAAATCCATCTCCCTCGTCCATGTCAGTCTTCTCCACTTACAAATGCTATTACCGGTCAAGAGAGACTGCTGCTGGCAAACAACTTCACCGCAGCAGACGGGAGAGGAGAAATTCCCAATTCTCAAGTCTCCTGCTGCACCTCTGAGTCCCTGAGGTCCACGGCTTGTTTTGAGAATGTGCTAACACGCTAAAAAGAAGGTGTCTATTCTGGTCATAATGAAGACTCCAGGGCCAGGCGGAGCCGGGAAGAAGAGAAGAGGAGTACACACCAGTTTCCCTCCCGTGAGGGTTCATTTGCCAGTCTCCTTCATCCCTGGAAACAAATAAGCGCAATTCCCACTTGGGTTACTCAAAATGTGGAGCCCTGCTGTTTCTCAACGTTTCAGTAGCATTGTGGTTTCTAACTAGTGCACGCTGCTTGCTGGAGCATTACAGGCGAGAAAGAGGCCTATGGGTTTGTGGGTTAGTTGGGGAGGCAAAAGCTAGAGGCCAGATTTAAGAAGTAAACGGGGTATAGGAGGGTTTTTTGAGGGTCAGCTGGGTGTGTGTGTGTGTGTGTGTGCATGTGCAGGAAAGCCAATTATTAAGGCTAGATGTCAGGGGACGAAGCGCAGGGCTTAGGGGGATAACTCATTATCCCAGGGTGAGCCATCTCCTACTGTTCACAGTGTATTAGCTGCACACACCAGCACTCCTGATTTGTATCTCCCCACATGGTTAAAGCGACACTGCAGCATGTAATCATTAGACGGGCTCCATCTCTGATCTGGCTGAACTGAATCTAATATGATAACATCAGATATAACGCAGTATGACGAATGTAGATGAAAAAACTCGGCCCCTTAAAAATGTTATTTAAAACTGCAGTAAGACATCAGATAAAAGACAAGTTGGGTGTATACAGGCCTGTTTCCTGCTCTGTGTTTCACCCTTATTGTTATTGTCCTGCAGTGGACCACAGCTCATTAGTGCCATGCAGCTGTATTTACTGTTAGCATTTTTTAATGTGCTGCTAATATCACATTGAGCCTGCATGGCTAATAGACCTGTGTATTGGCTGGTTAATGGTCCTTCATCAGCAAGATATTTGGATTGGTGCAGCCGTATGAAAGACAAATGGCTCAGCTCTGTGAACCAATGTTTGCCCTGCGCTCTGATCTGCAGAGGGAGTGACAGGAGGCCTGGCAAAGTGAGATGCACGACATTAGGTTGTTTAATATGGTGTTAGGTCATTACCGCAGTACATAAGGGGATTAATTTAGCATATTATATTTCAATGTCATCACTAGATACAGCCTGGCCCATATAAATGATTAACAAACAAGCACCAACATCATCATCTTTTAAAAGCTCAACTGGCAGCTCAGCACCTGTCCTTTTGAAAAATACATTAGTACCCAACACGAGCCAAAACTACTTTGCTAATCTCTCTCGTTTCTCTCTCTCTCTCTCTCTCTCTCTCTCTCTCTCTCTCATGAGAGTGTGGGTGGATATGACAGCCTCCACCTGGGCCTGGAGACAAACGGCAAACGGATGCCTGCAAGGGCCTCTGCGACATCCAAAGCTGCTGTCCGTTGCCGTCACTCCTTCTGTCACATCCTCCTCAAAATAGCGCCTCGACACATTCTAAACCCTCATACTCATTTATGGGCTTTCATCCAGGCAGGGGTCACATAGCTCCAATCATGCAAAACCAACAACCTAACACATAGCAGCGGCCACGAGACTGACAACTGAGCCACGGCAACAGCGTGCACGTCGCAGTCAGGCACTGAGCAGGGGTGAAATGCAGTGAGGGTTGAGAGTGACATGTTAATGCTTGTGCTTCAGAGAGGAAGCTGCTGTAAGGCCACGGGTCCTTTTCTTCCTGTAAACTGACTCAGTTTTCAGATTCTTCACTTCTTTTCATAAACATCCTGTAATCAGGATGTAATTACCATTCGCAAAATATGCCTTAAAGCAAAACTTTTAAACAACAAACAAATTTATTCTTTCTCATAAAGAACAAAAGTTAGATTTCCAGCTAATGAAAATATTTTACCAAACCTACTTTTGGCCACTAAATCCTACTTTTTCTAACATGGTTGTTTCCAGATGTTTCGGCTGAGAGATAACATCATGTGTGTCCTCAAGCAACAAGGTGTGAACAAAGGTTCAGACGTAAAAGCAAAGACACCAATGACACACCCCATAGTCGTGGGCGGCGGTTCTGAGTCACTTCACTAGTTTGCAGCCACCAAAAGATAAAAAAGGATAAAAAGGAGGGCGTCAGGGTAAATGGAAGAGCCAACACCAACCAGAGCGCTGAGTGTAACAAAAGAAAAGGATCAGATTGGCAGAGAGTCAGCAGGTCAAATCGCTCCAACAATAACACGATGGGTTTCCAAACAAACTCGGTGATAAACTCTGCTTTACTCAACTGGTCACGTCCCGTCTAACACTGGCTCCTGCTGAGCATTGGTTACTGTGTGTGAGTGGTAATGTGGTGTTACCTTAAATCTTTAGTAAATTAAGGGTAGATTTTATTCTGCAGAAGCACATGTACATACACAAACTGCCTCATAGTCTAGCATTACTGGGTTTATTTTTGTCATTATAGTAACTGCATTTATTGCGAAACACATCCCAGTTGCTCCTTTCCATTTATCAACCTCATTAGCTCATCGACACATGACCTGGCTCGTAATCAACACAGTGAAGTTCCAGCCCTCAGACTGTGTCCAGAACTTATCTGGTCATCAGTGGAACTAAGATACATACTGACAGCCACCAGACTGTATTTTCCACAGTGTGAGAAGATGATGTAGTGGAACAAAATGCACCATATGTTACGTAAATAATGGATATTACATGAAGATAAAAGACAATAATAAAAACAATAATACATGAATACCTAACTTAAAAATGATTGTTTTTGTCAATATTACTGGATGATTGCCCACTTCAGGTGACTGCCTACCGCCTGTGACCGTAGCCTTATTAAACTGAAGACGTAACAGTACCAAAG